CGAAGAACCCGAGCACCTCAAGCTCGAGTTGCCCCTTTTTTTCTGTCCAGCATGCTTGTGGAGCTCCCAGGGTGCTACCAAAGATGCTCAACCTGCTCGCCCGTGCCCCCTTAGTGACTTCTCTGTCAAGCCCGTGCGTGCACCGCCGCAATCCTCACCGTCGGCTACGATTCTATCCACCCCCGGCGGCCCCGCAACCCCCGATGGATGCGCGCCATCTCCATCTACCCAATGCGCCACTCCACCATCCATTTGGTCGCCGTAGGAGATGACCCGAGGCCCTCCACTGCGATCTGTGCTCGGCGGCGGCTTAGCTGCCGGTTAGCTGACGTGGCAGAGATTAGCTTAGGCTAATCTCGGTTTAGTTAAGCCCCGTGTTGGAAATATGCCCTAGAGGCAATAATAAAAGTATTATTATTATATTTCTTTGTTCATGATAATAGTCTTTTATTCATGCTATAACTGTATTATCCGGAAATCGTAATACACGTGTGAATACATAGACCACAATATGTCCCTAGTGAGCCTCTAGTTGACTAGCTCGTTGTGATCAACAGATAGTCATGGTTTCCTGGCTATGGACATTGGATATCGTTGATAACGGGATCACATCATTAGGAGAATGATGTGATGGACAAGACTCAATCCTAAGCATAGCACAAAGGTCGGTTAGTTCGTTTGCTAGAGCTTTTCCAATGTCAAGTATCTCTTCCTTCGACCATGAGATCGTGTAACTCCCGGATACCGTAGGAGTGCTTTGGGTGTATCGAACATCACAACGTAACTGGGTGATTATAAAGGTACACTACAGGTATCTCCGAAAGTGTCTGTTGGGTTGACACGGATCGAGACTGGGATTTGTCACTCCGTATGACGGAGAGGTATCTCTGGGCCCACTCGGTAATGCATCATCATAATGAGCTCAAAGTGACCAAGTGGTTGATCACGGGATCATGCATTACGGTACGAGTAAAGTGACTTGCCGGTAACGAGACTGAACAAGGTATTGGGATACCGACGATCGGGTCTCGGGCAAGTAACGTACCGATTGACAAAGGGAATTGTATACGGGGTTTGATCGAATCCTCGACATCGTGGTTCATCCGATGACATCATCGAGGAGCATGTGGGAGCCAACATGGGTATCCAGATCCCGCTGTTGGTTATTGACCGGAGAGTCTCGGTCATGTCTGCATGTCTCCCGAACCCGTAGGGTCTAACACTTAAGGTTCGGTGACGCTAGGGTTATCAGGAAGACAAGTATGTGATCACCGAATGTTGTTCGGAGTCCCGGATGAGATCCCGGACGTCACGAGGAGTTCCGGAATGGTCCGGAGGTAAAGTTTTATATATGGGAAGTTGTTAAACGGACACCGAAAGTTTCGGGGTCATACCGGTATTGTATTGGGACCACCGGAGAGGTTCCGGGGGTCCACCGGGAGGGACCACCCCTCCCGAGGGGCCACTTGGGCTGCGTAGGGATAGCAGCCAGCCCCTAGTGGGCTTGGCGCCCCCCCCCCCTTGGGCCCATGCGCCTAGGGTTTGGGGGGGAAACCCCAAAGGGGGCGCAACCCCCTTGCTTGGGGGGCAAGCCCCCCACCCTTTGGCCGCCGCCCCCCTCTAGGGTTTCCCCTAGAGGGCCGGCCCCCTTGCCCCTCTCCTCCTATATATAGAGGGGTGAGGGGAGGGCTGCTGGACACAACTTAAGGCGCAGCCCCTCCCCTCCCCAACACCTCTCCTCCTCCGTACGTGCTTGGCGAAGCTCTGTCGGAGTACTGCTGCACCAACTACACCACGCCATCGTGCTGCCGTTGGAGCTGCCTTCCTCAACCTCTCTTTCCTCCTTGCTGGATCAAGACGGAGGAGACGTCGTCCGTCCCGTACGTGTGTTGAACGCGGAGGTGCTGTCCGTTCAGCACTTGGTCATCGGTGATCCGAATCACGTCGAGTACGATTCCATCATCACCATCCCCTTGAACGCTTCCGCACTCGATCTACAAGTGGTATGTAGATGCAAACTCTTCCCCTTGACTCGTTGTTTAGATGAACTCATAGATGGATCTTGGTGAAACCGTAGGAAAAATTTTAATTTTCTGCAACGTTCCCCAACACCCCGACTCTATGACAGTAGGCCCCATCCCTTTAATTAACCTTTTTTATTTTATGTTGTGTGAGAGAGATAGTTTCCGGAGTGAGGTCCACCTGTAAGAGAGAGGTTTTTTCTTCTTCTTTTTTCAAGGGTAGATCCCACATGTTTTAGTGACATATGCACACAAGGGCAACTATGTCTATAAAATGTCCCGTATATGGTCAAAGGACTTTGACCGGATGAAAACGGCATGGAGGGGTATTTTCATAAAGACACTAGATGGAAAGGGGTATAGTTGAGCACTGTTTTTATTTAGGGGTAAAGATGAGGCCGGGCGAAAATTAGAGGGGGGATGTAAATGACCCTTTTCTCAATTTTCCTTTACCAAAAATTGTGTGGCTAAGTGCCAACCCAATTTTTTATTTGAATATTTGAAAACTTATAGACGCAATTTTTTATAAAAAAAATCGCCCATGCCATGCATACCGCTCGGATACACATATCCGGCGACACGTCCAGGGAAGCTCCAAAACCGCAAGCCGCAATCACCAAAAATCAATGGACTGACCAAATAGTTCCGGCTCTGTCGCAGCGCAACCTTAATAAATCTAAGGCTCGGTGCCACTGGCCGGTCGCCGTACCGCGTATGAATGGCGCCGCAGTAGCTACCTCGGCACTGCAGCCGGGCAGCGACAGCCGGCAGGTGGAGCAGAAAAACGGATGAGCTAACGAAGAAAGGCATAAATAATCCCCTCTTTTCCGACGATAATCTGTTGTCGTTCGACGGTACGACGATGCCTGGGCGGCTCCCATATGTCCGTGAGGTCTCCATCGTTCTGCAGTGCGCGCGCTTCATTTCTCGACGAGGTGCGGTGTGAACTTCTAGCTGAGAGCTGTGGTGCGCTTTCTGAACTGCTATTGCCGTATTTATTACCATCTCTACAGTGCTGGCCTTTTCTTGAAAGCGAAAGGATCATAGTGGCTGAAAGCCACCCCCCGAGAAAGAAGTTTACACATTTGCCATCATTTTGAACTCCAATTCAGCTTTTGCCATCGTCTTTTTTTTGCGGCCATGCTGAAGTTTTCTTTTTTTTTTGCGAATAAAACTACGGAGTTTTATTCATTCAATCACTGTAAGGTTACAATCAGCCAACAAAAGCTCATCGATACAAGGGGGGCCTATGTGCAGCCATACCGATCTTTGCGTACTGAAAGACGTGAAGTGGATGTAATTTGTGTTACTTTTGGTGTTCTTTGTACTGGCATGACTGTTGATGAATGGAACGCAAGTTATTCACGCAATAAAAAGAGGCATGACCTAGTCCGCATCCTCATTTTTCTCATTTAACTTACACTTAGATTGCAGTATCACACTTCTGAATATTTTTCATGTTATACGGGCTATATATAGATGAGCGATCATGTTCGTATTTAGTAAGTAGATTCAGCTTAGACTTTTCATTGTTGAAAAATATTGCTCCTTTATTGGATTTTCTCCAACAATTCTCATTTTTGAATGAACTAGTATGGTCAATACAATTCAATATAGTATGACAATTCACAATAAGAGATCTAAATTTAAGACATGTAGAAGTGTTAAATAGAATAACAAAAACAGTAAAAATCTGACGTCAGCTTTTTAGGCATGGAAAATCTCACTTCTCATGGCAATTTATATTGGTGTGATGATGGCAAATTTAGCTTGCAAGCATGGCAATTTTCTGGCCAAAAAAAATGAACTAAGACGGATTTGTTATGCTCACCAACTAAACTTGTCATCCACAACGAACAAAATTTTCAATCAAAAACTTTCGAATTGCCAGATTTGTAGTGGAGTCCATAAACCAAATGTGGTTTAGATCCATCTAAGGGCCTGTGTAATATTTAAATAAAGGATGTGGCTAGGTCACAGTCGACTGGGATTTAACTAAGTCTCAATCAAGTGACATAACATGCAAGAGAGAAAAACAAAAAAAATAGAAAAGAAAATTTTGCACAGATTTCAATGTAAAATCCTATGGATATAGCATCAACGTAGACTTAACGAAGTCCCAGTCGACTGAGATTTAAGAAGACTGTTAAATAAAATAGGACCCGAATTAACGAATACCCATCGAATGTTAGATTTTTAGGCATGGCAAGTCAAACACTTTTCATGACAATTATGTTCACCAAGGATGGAAGTTTAATCCCCTCAAAAAAAAAAGGATGGAAGTTTAACAATCAAATTTTTAGCTAGAGGCTTTTTCTTAAGGTCGTACCCTAATATGATGTACATATGGAATGGTGGAAGTATGTTATCTGAATCAAAAGGTCTCAAAAGTTTAAAACAAAACCAACACAATATTTAGTAAAATTATGTGTGACCTTTTTTTTGCGAGAAAACTTCCAAACAATTCATTTTCAATCATGACAGTACAACAAACACTAGAAATAATAAAAATTACATCAAGATTTGTATAACACCTAGCGACGACTACAAAACTGAAGCGCGCTGCCGTCATCGCCCCTCCCACATCGGAGCCGGGCAAAACTTTTGACCTTTAGATGTGAGGAGAAGTGTTAAAATATGATATCCGATTGATGTGTGGGTTTTAGTATTGATGGCATGGTACAAACAACTATTCCTTTTCTTGAATCACAATGCACTTAACAACAACAATTGTTCCCTTCCATTATTGACACCGGTTTCTTATCTGGATTACTGGCCAACTGTGCTGTGCCTGGATC